CCACAGTTCTTGACCAAATATGGTATGACCCCTGTTCCTCACCCTCCATACTCACCCGACCTTGCCCTGTGTGATTTTCTTTTGTTTCCCCGAATGAAAAGAGACATGAAAGGAAAGTGTTTTGCTGATGTTGCTGAGGTGAAGGAAAAAACGACGGAGGCGCTGTCAAGCATCTCAAAAGATGAATTTAGACAATGTTTTGAAAAATGGAATAAAAAAAGACTAGACAAGTGTATTAGTGTAAGTGGAGAGTACTTTGAAGGGGATTGAAGGTTTCTGTTTAAAATTTGAATAAATAAGTTTAAAAAAAATAAGTTCGGTTTCTTTTGGGTACCCCCTTGTATATCTGGGCATTGTCCTTGAAGTTCTTTTATTGTTGTGTTGTGACGGTCAAATAAATAAGTTGTATATATTGTAACACAGCAGGATGCATGAAATGAAAATTATTGAATTTATCTGGTTCAAATACAGACCAGTGGAGGTCTCTTGTGAACATGGTAATGAACCTTCAGATTTCATAAAATGTTGAGAAATTCTGAAGTAATTGAATAGCTGGCAGCATCTCAGTAAGGGCTCATTTCCATGGAGTTAGTTGATTGGTTGGTTAGATGGTTAGCTAGTTTTACGTAGTTAATTAGTTGGCTGACTAGCTAGCTAAGCACACGTGAGACAGGAAAGAAATGCATACAAAATTGGGGTTGGAAAACATGAAAGAAACATGTCACCTGGAAAGCATAGAAGTGAATCTGAAACCAATGAGGTAGGAGAGTTTGGTTTGGGTTTATTTAGATCAGAATTGATAACAGTGGTAGGCTCATGTGAACACAGCTTTGAACCTTTGAGTTAAATGGAATGCTGGGAATTTCTTGAGTAGCAGAATAACTGTTAGCTTCTCAAGAAAGACTCTGCTCTTTGGAATCTGTCAGCGACAAGGTAATTTGTGAGGTATAACGAAGACATTCATGCATTAGCATGAAAATAAATGGAACCAAAAAAGAACAGGTCTCTGGCCTTTGAATTTTATCATGGGATGGGAGTAATGCCTACATTATTAAACATGTGCTGGTCAGGGTCCAATGAAGACGGTCTTCCATTTTAGTGTTGTTCAGCAGTAAAACTGCATACTGTGATCTGTCAACCATATGATGCTATCACATTTTTATCTTTTATTTCTAAACTCCACTTTGATACTAGTATGTTGATATCTTGGTAAAGTGAACATGTTCATTCCAGGGCAAGCACTGGGTACAAAGATTTACATTTAAAACGTTTAAAACGTTCACAAGGCAAAATTTCAGTGAAAAGTGGACTCTTAACATCTGCAGTCCACTGTATCAAGTGAAAATATATGCCTTGGATACCTAAAGTGTTTTGCTTATTTTGTATAATATATTGATATTTTATTGTTTTCAGCAATACCCTTTCACCGTACATGAAGCAAGTATTTGTTCTCCTGTTTCACCGTTTGTCTTCATCAAGGACAACAAAGTTTGTGAAAGGCTTGATTATCTTCTTTTCCTTATATGCAGTCAAATATGGCGCTGGCAGTCTTGTAGGAATGATTGACAGTATCCAGCCAGAGTAAGTGACAGCTATGTAATTGCCTTATTCCTGTTCTTGTGATATCATTGAAATTTACATATATGCCATCAAAATAAAAATAAAGGGGGACAAACAGAGCTCCTTGTATTTTCTAGGTATGTGCAAGTCTTGAATGTGTTAGAGAAAATTATGGGAAAAATTATCAATCCAATTTGAACATTAATTTTTCATTTCTGATCACTGCGTTTGCTTTGGACATCAGTCATATCAGAAAGGATCAAGATCATATTTGCTCAGTTCAAGATGAGTTTTTCCCCTTTTAACAGTCACGAAAGTATGAATTGTCAGCATGAAATTGAATGGTGTTTTAACCCATTTTAAGTGTTTATCATGTTCAAAGCACAGGCTGCACCATGGGTCACTTTTACTCCCCACCATCCTACTATGTAAGAGTAGCAAGCGGGAGAGAAATATTTTTCAAGGTCCAACCATATGGTTGCCCAGAGTGTGACCAAAATTATGATACAAAAGCAGTGATTCACAAATTTATGATATCACAAGATGCTATTCTACTGCAAGTATCCCTCTCAACGGAAAAATGGCAGGTCATGTCAAGAAAAGATATATTAATTTGAAGGAGATCACTATATCAAAAAGTATCAGGCACCAGGGTTATGGTTCATATTTTAAGACTTGTGATTAAATGTGCAGAACAAACAAACAAATGTGACATGAGAAGAAAATACTACATCCCCCTCTGCCAAAGCCTGAAGGTGGAAACAACACAAACCAGAACTTGCCAGTTCTGTGTGAAAATTGTCATAGATTAAGAGACAATGGAATGTCAGTCAGATGGAACACAATTTAAGTACAGCTGAAGTGGTTGTGTACATATGGAATGAAGGAACAATAACAGAATAAAAGTCTTCACTTGGCAAGAAATTACCTTCATACTTCGAGGCATTGTCTCTGAAATGCCAGTGTATTTGATATAATATCCCATTATACAGTCTATGATATAGGTGCAAACTTTGCATTCATCTCACCCACATATGCCTGTTTTGTAAGGGGGGTGGGGTACTCCTCAGCAGTTGTGGAATTGGTTGGGCTACTCCCCTGCCTATACAGTGGTTTACTGTGTTGGTCCATCCATAGTTATCACTCTTCATAGTTAAGATGTCTCCATACTCGGTGAGGAGGTCTTCCACCTGTCAGGATTCAGTGTTACTCAGGTTTGGCCTGGCTGCTGCGTTCATTTTCTGCAACTTCGTGGTAGTATCTTGGACTTGTGGTCTTGGACCCCAACATTGGGTGGGGCCACTGGCTGACATTGTGCCAGTGGTATCCTTTTGGGTGCTGTTTGCTACAGGTAGGATTCAGGACCCTCACAGATACCTCCCAGCGGTCTTGGACCAGGATCCTAAATAGTGTCATGTGTATCAGTAACTAAACACGGGGTTCAGGTTGGTAATTGGATTTCTTAATAACCTGTAGGTCATAACTACAAATAATTATTACACTACTGCTGATTTACACATTTTAGAATCACTCGACACTAATCTTCTGAGTCTGTCTCCACTATGTTCACTATCTGTTTCCTGGCAACAGAGTTATAACACAGGAACTGTAAAAGTCACGCTAAACTACACACTCCCAATATCGACATACTACAGCACATGTAACATAATTCACAAAGTCTTCTAATTCTACTGGCCATACTGCTGTTCCCCTGGAACTTTGGAACTCAGGTCCAGTTAATTCCCATTTCAGTATTTTGTTATACCCTGTCAGCACAGACCACGCACAGAAAACAGCCCCTCTATTGTTGTATGGTGCAGAACACACAGAAAGCGTGTCATGTCAGACTGCGAGTTGTTTAGTTCATTAGCAATGCAGGGTTTGGCGCAGATAACATAGGAAACACAGCCTCATGTATTGTTCCATGCTGGACTGTGTTTACAGAGCTGTTTCCTGGCAATGTGTTGATCAAATCCTGTACAATATATAGAGTTCGGGAGTGTGGGCCTCCAGACACGGTTCTAGCAGGCCATTTTCTACTCCGAAGGTCTCTCCAGTTGAGCCGTCACCACCCCTTCACAATGTGCAGGTATTACCTGATCATTGGCCACTACCAGGCTGGAAGGATATGTCCCTGCTCCAGGGCTCCCTATCAATACTTCTTCTGCAATACAGCATTTGATGCCCAAAGTCCACAGATGCATCATCTTGTCACAGGATGTGCAGCCCCAAGATGAACTTGTTGGTGATATTGGCAACACATACCCAGATTTTCTGTGGATTCCGCCCCAGGGTCAGTGTCAGTGTGACCATAGATGAGGTTTGGATTGGTAGTCAGATTATTGAACTGTTAAGATTCTTGTGACTACGCTCTACAATTCACTATTGCACACATACTAGTGTCTACAGTCACTTCACTCTTTCAGCTTTCAGCTGTTGATGTTTCCCCTTTTCTGGGTTCCTGAACTGTCCCCGATCTTATTACCCGCTTCTGAGTGTAATTGCTAACTGGTCCTGCTTATATAACATCTCATCACAGACTGCCCAGAAAAGTCTCTTCCATTATTGCTCTATTCTGTTGTTGCTGTGGAAACATGCTTGTTTGTAGAGCCATTAGCAATGGCTAGCAAGGGGTCTGCATGCCACAATATTGTGGCACGTCTGCTCAAAGCCAGAATTGCGGAGCCAACAGTCATCACTAGATTATGGCTGTGTAACACACAGCAGTGAAGTGACTATGGGATGTGGTTTTTCCTATGCAGTCGATGCCAATAGCTACGTCATGCCACAATAACGTAGAAGAACCGTTAGGAGAGCTTTTTTCTGTGGGTTCTGTGCAGAGGAAATATAACGCGTGCCAGCTGTCATTAGCCAGAAGATTAGGAGGTTGATGTTTGATGACCTGCAAGGACATGAGCCCAGGAGCAGAGAATTATCTGCTGTTGGAAGACATTACCAAGCAGCCTAGTGAAGACTATAACTGAGAACCAGGCTTTGTGTAATAGTGATTTGTAAAGTGTAGTCACGAGGTGTGTGTTTAGGAGTTCATTAACTTTGATTACTAATCCAAAACTCATCTGTAGCCACTCAGTCACTTGACAATATTTATAGTGTTTTTATTTATTGACACAATACTCTTCACAGAGTATGAAGAAATGAGCAGTGGTCAGAATGAAAACCTCAAATGTTATAAAAGACAGAGCACTGTTTGTGCATCAGACACAAAATATGTGACTGTTGGGATAGCTCAGTCATTATAGCAACAGGCTACAGGCTGGTGGATGGGGTTCAGTTTTCAGCAGGACAAGATTTTTCTTGTCTCCATAACATCCACTCTCCTGTCCAATGAGTGCCAGGGGCGAGTTCCTTATGGATATAGCAATTAGGAAGTGAAGCTGACCCCACCTTCATTTAGTGCCGAGGTGTAGAGTGGTTAGGATGTATCCCCATTCCCCATTTGTCTTCATGGTGTGGTAATTAATTAAGCACAAGGATAACTTTATCATTTTTTTACAATGAATGTATGTAGACCACTTCAAATACATGCTGAGTGATGAATCATGTATAGAGGAACTGTAAACATTTATATGATATAAGGTTGGTTTGGTGGAGAATCTTTCTTGTAATTTCACAATTCCTTTATTTGCTAATAAATTAATAAGTGTCTTATGAACACATTAAAGCCTGTATCATCTGACTATAAATGGACAAAGAATTAAGTTCATTCTAAAATCCAGAATAGAGTAAATATATTCTGTTTTTTATTGCCAGGATGTTTGGGAGAGTCCTGGAGAAAGTAATTATCCCTGATGTTCAGAAGATTTCAGGTGGTGTGGAACGCAAAATAGCAGCAGTAGGGATCACAAGTCTTCTCTGTGATTCCAAGGAAATGATGGATGGTTCCTATTCTCATCTGTGGTAAACTTTGTTTAAAATGACTATCATGTCAGTTCTTTAGTATGTAGACTGTTACATCATTTGTATAGGTAGAATAAGTAATTTGTTTTGCTAATAAAAATATAACGCCACTCCTTTTCAACTTTGCTGTAGAATATGCCATTAGGAAGGTCCAGGGAAACCAGGTGGGACTGAAATTAAACGGGACACATCAGCTGTTGGCCTATGCCGATGATGTGAGTCTACTGGGTGATAATATAGCTACCATAAAGAAAAACACACAAACTTTAATTGACGCAAGTAAAGAGGTTGGTCTAGAAGTAAACACAGAGAAAACTAAGTATATGTTGCTGTCCCATCACCAAAATGCAGGGCAAAATCATGACATAAAGATAGGAAACAGATGTTTCGAAAATGTGGCACAGTTCAGATATTTGGGAACAACAATAACAGATCAAAACCTGATTCAGGAGGAAATTAAGAGGAGATTGAACTCAGGTAATGCTTGCTACCATTCAGTCCAGAACCTTTTGTCTTCGCCTCTGCTGTCCAAAAACATAAAAATTAGAATATACAAAACTATAATTTTGCCTGTGGTTCTGTATGGGTGTGAAACTTGGTCTCTGACATTGAGGGAGGAACATAGACTGAGGATGTTTGAGAACAGGGTGTTGAGGAGAATATTTGGACCGAAGATGGATGAAGTGACAGGAGGTTGGAGAAAACTGCACAGTGAGGAGCTTCATAACTTGTACTCTTCTCCAAGTATAATTAGAATGATCAAGTCAAGGTGGATGGGGTGGGCAGGCCATGTAGCACGAATGGGGGGGTATGAGGAATGCATATAGGATATTGGTGGGAAAGCCAGAAGGAAAGAGACCACTGGGCTGACCAAGGCATAGGTGGGTAGATAATATTAAATGGATCTTAGAGATATAGGATGGATTGGATTGATCTGGCTCAGGATAGGGACCAGTGGAGGGCTCTTGTGAACATGGTAATGAACCTTTGGGTTCCATAAAATGCTGAGAAATTCTTGAGTAGCTGCAGAATTTGTGGCTCCTCCAGAAGGGCTCAGCTCCATGAGTAAGTAAGTAAGTAAGTAATAAAAATATAAAGATATGTTAGAATAGCCGTATGGACACATTTCTGTTGGAAATTATATTTTAGATTGTCTGATGATACAAAATTGTCAAAACCTGAAGCTGGTAAATGCAGTGAAATTTCATTCGTGTAACAAAAATAAAATTATTGTCAATTTAAAGTGCTATTGAAAATATGTACATTTTCTTTTATGGTACATTTTGTATATCTTATGTCAGATATACTCTCATATTGACAGAGCATATTGTCTTCATGGCAGTAAAACTGAATGATAACTTGTTTTGCTACAGGGCATCACTTCTACAAGCCCTTATTGGGCTGTTTGAGTTGCCAGAGGATGAGTCATCATTACCAGATGACCACTACATTGAAGTTGAGGATACACCTGGGTACCAAGCAGCTTACTCTCAGCTAGCCTTTGCGAACAAGAAAGATCCTGATCCACTGCATGGTATATATCCCAATCTTGATTCTTAGATCATGATGAATTATTAAGGCATGATTAATTACAGAACCATTACAGCTTACTTCTGTATTTCTACATTTACAAGATGATCAGTATCTCCAGAACAGATGAATTACATAGTTATGATTATGTGGGAAGGAAAAAATCTGTTTGCATCAAAAACTGTTATTTGGCTGGTTTTTAATTCTTTCACATCTGTACTATTTTATATTCATTGTTCACCATTTGTACTTTCTTCCTTTCAAAATATTTTGTTTAAGCATCCTGTTGCATTAATATATACTCTTCAGTCCACAGTGCAACCTGTTTATTACCCATATATGGCCAAAACATGTAGTGGAAAGAGAGTTTCTTTTTTCAGTTTGCAAATGCATTGTATGTCTTATATTTATTAACATGTTGACACTGTTTTGATAGGTATCAGTGACCCAAGACTTCATCTAGCCCAGAGTCTCTACAGGTTGTCTGTTGCGTGTCCTGGCCGAGTGAGTCCACTTTTACGCACTGGTCTCTCAGATGCTAATCGTGCATACTTGAAAAACTATCTAGATGCAGCAGGTGTTCAACTTGTATGATCTACATTTCCACTGAACTGTAACAAAGAAAGACAGTGTGTGTTTGTGTGTGTAAATTATGTCTCTTTTTTTTAACATAACCTAATGCAGGAAATAAACTAGTAATAAAAATGCAAATTACTTTTTATTCTATTAAAATTCCTGTAAAATAAGGAGTGACATTTAGATTTTGGTCTTCTGGGTTATAATACAGTGTGTTCTAGGTGATTCTCCATCTTTCAGGGGAGACTGCTGCTCCCATTTTCAGCATAGAAGTTCCATCTACCAGAAAACTATGTCTTAATATCTTCATGTAACTCACTGTAGGCTGGTTCTGACCAGGTGTAAGTCCTACAGTAGACCTCCACCCTAGCAGCGTTTTTCTGACACCACTCTTTTGGCATTTAGGCTTCATGTCAAAGCATAATTCTAGTTTAATTATAATACACATCTTCATCTTTGACTTTCCACATCATTATGTACTCACCTCTAAGAAAATTAATATCATGTTTTTACTATATTTTGTGCCATTACATGGACTGCTGTCTGGGGTATTCACCACGTGATGAAAGTATAAATATGTAATAGCATTATATACAACATGCGTCCATTCATTCGTGATTATACACTCTGATCCTTTCACCGTCCTCTGAAAAATTTGTCATATCCTTATGGCCTTCGTGAAGGTTTTTGTGCGACATGAAATTAATTAAATTATATATAAGGTACATAAACGTAACATTCATCTTACCACACATTCTTCAACAATCTGAGAAATTCTTGTCATCATATAAAAAAGCAGGATTACAAATTTCATCATGCTGTTTGATACATTTACTGCTTCATGAAACAAATATAGTGTAGCGTGCCACCTAAAACCAAAATATCTGAGTCAGAGGGGGCTTCCATTGCTAGACAACAGCTCGGTAGTCACGTTCTTCCATTGTTGTCTGGGTGGAAATTAAAGATGTTCATGCGACAACGCATGTATAACAGAGGGTTACCACGGAAATGAAAACCAGTACAAGTGCAGTCCCTGCGGTAACAAATACACTAGCTATTGTTGCATCGAAAACGTGAAACAGAACCCTTGAACAAGGGACCGTCCAACTGTCAGAGACCAAGAGGACAGAAAATCAGTTGAGAAGTGCAGAAGTGAAGACAGAATAAAACAGCACACAGAAGATGAAAAGAGAATAGAAGAGAATTACAGAAGACCAGAGGTGCAAGATGCAGACAATAGTGAGGGACTTGGTATCCAGAAGGAGTTAAATGTAGTGTAGTTGCGAGAGTGATGTCAAATGAACCTGTTCATCAAATCTAGAATCCACAGTTACAGGTCATGGAACACCGAATACATGACAATATAAAAAAAAACATTTGCAATATTCAACTGGACCTCCCACAGTCTAGTTTAACGTCTACAATATTATATTTAAGCATCCTGTTGCACTCTACACGACAAATGATACCTTTACAGTGGGAAAACATGAACTAGCCGCTCCAGCACTTTGACATAGGGCGAGTAACCCTAAGAATTTTAAATTTAAAATTTAAAATTTAGAGAAAAAATTTTTAAAAGGTTTTAAAAACAACATAACTAAAGATTTTTAGAGTGCTACTACAAGAATATCAAATTTGATGTGCGCAACATAATCTACATACCAGACACATATCAACGATGTAGATGTTGATAATACGAAGAATGTGACATTGTGTTTTTAAATGTTAAATTTTAGACTGGGTTCAGTGTGGCAGCAACGTTAAGAGTATACACCTGATGATGGCCGATAGAGGCCGAAACATGTAGTGTAGAAAGAACAAGATCAAAGACATATAATATATATTGTTTGCACTTGGGACGGACTTTGTATCATTTGTAGTCTAACGTCATTTAACGACTGTGTGAAAGAAAAAAAAATCTTAATGACTGCCCTATTCAGAGCATCATTGAATGATTATATATGTAAACCATTTGTTGTTCCCCATGACGTTGAACTGTCTTCGTTCAGAACGACTTGCCACGTCACAAATTGAGTACACAGAAAGAACTGACAACAGTCTTCTTTACTTTCAGCAGACTATAATTTGACACCCTTAGGAGTTATTAAATATATGTGTAAAACCTTTTATAATGTCAATCTTGAAGTTCAACTTTCTACCATGAGACCAAGTAATAACAGAACGCGCTAAAATGTTAAGAACATGACAATATTCACATCCTTATTATTCAAATTCAATTATTTATTTATGACTTCTTTTCTTTTGTTTCTTTACTACGGAAGCAATGCTTCCCTTGCTTCCATGCACGGCACGCCACTGCCAACAATGCATTTGCTCTTTTGTCTGTATTTGTTGCCGCGGAAACTTATTTCAACACCGAAAAGATTTCTTACCCTTACTTGTGTTTTCATTGCCATGGAAACCTGTTTAACAAAACGTTTCCTAGCAATAAATTTCTCGACTCTTCTCTTATATACAAAAATTTCATATTTATAATTTTCATCTTGTCGTTTGACAGTCTGCAGCATGATGTACTTGGCATTTATGTAAATAAAGAATATATAGAAAATCTATCTCCAGCAATTGTCCCGCCATCTATGGCACTCACCGCGTGATAAAGGGAATAATATAATTTCACGATTTATGTATCTGACTATAGACGGGGTTTGGATTGGTGAATGGATATAATTACCACTTATATGCTCACGACTCATCACTGTACTTTACAGATCACTAACACATACAGGCTAGTGTGTCCTATTCCACTCTGCACTACCTTTTCCTGGAAACGGTTTTTAACACAGGAACTGTAAGTCTCACTGAATTACACACTCCAGATGTCACACATAAAATCTTATCTTCACAGATGCACTCTTGCAACTAACTGTTTTCTTCGCAAACTCCCATACAGAACTGAACTCTTAACTGACAACTACCTGGGTCAAAATCAGAGTCAGAGTTACCTTTAATGACTGGNCTGTACTTTACAGATCACTAACACCTACAGGCTAGTGTGTCCTTCTATTCCACTCTGCACTACCTTTTCCTGGAAACGGTTTTTAACACAGG